TCGGGGTCACAAGCCAGGGATCAGAACAGGAGAAGTCAGCAGAGGTCAGAATCAAGCCGGGTCAGCAACAAGACAGGAACAGGAGCAGGATGCAGGAACAAGATACAGGGCCAAGGAAAAACACAACACCAAGGCAGAGTCTGCAGGTCTGAATGTCCCTTAAAATACACCAGTATAATTAGTTCCAGGTGTTTGACTGGCTGCAAGGTTGAGTCTCTGATTGCTGGGGAGCACCCGCTGGCCAGCCCTGGTACTGCAGCTCACAAGGCAGGTGAGTCCCACTATTGCTGACCAGTCCATTCCTGACATCCGCAGTCTCTGGTCATCTCCTGTAGTATGTCCGCAGTCTCTGGTCATCTCCTGTAGTATGTCCGCAGTCTCTGGTCATCTCCTGTACTGTCTCTGGTCCTCCTGTACTGTGTCCGCAGTCTGGTCATCTCTGTACTGTGTCCTCAGTCTCTGGTCATCTCCTGTACTATGTCCGCAGTCTCTGGTCATCCCCTGTACTATGTCCGCAGTCTCTGGTCATCTGTACTATGTCCGCAGTCTTTGGTCATCCCCTGTACTGTGTCCGCAGTCTCTGGTCATCCCCTGTAATGTGTCCGCAGTCTCTGGTCATCTCCTGTAGTATGTCCGCAGTCTCTGGTCATCTCCTGTACTATGTCCGCAGTCTCTGGTCATCTCCTGTACTATGTCCGCAGTCTCTGGTCATCTCCTGTAGTATGTCCGCAGTCTCTGGTCTGTAGTCAGTCTCTGGTCTCCTGTAGTATGTCCGCAGTCTCTGGTCATCTCCTGTACTGTGTCCACAGTCTCTGGTCATCTCCTGTACTATGTCTGCAGTCTCTGGTCATCTGTACTATGTCTGCAGTCTCTGGTCATCTCCTGTACTATGTCCACAGTCTCTGGTCATCTGTGCTATGTCTGCAGTCTCTGGTCATCTTCTGTAGTATGTCCGCAGTCTCTGGTCATCTCCTGTACTATGTTCGCAGTCTCTGGTCATCTCCTGTACTGTGTCCGCAGTCTCTGTCTCCTGTACTGGTCATCTCTGGTCCTGTACTGTGTCCGCAGTCTCTGGTCCTCTCCTGTACTGTGTCCGCAGTCTCTGGTCATCTCCTGTACTGTGTCCGCAGTCTCTGGTCATCTTCTGTACTGTGTCCGCAGTCTCTGGTCATCTCCTGTCCTATGTCCGCAGTCTCTGGTCCATCTCCTGTACTCTGTCTGCAGTCTCTGGTCATCTCCTGTACTGTGTCCGCAGTCTCTGGTCATCTCCTGTACTGTGTCCGCAGTCTCTGGTCCTCCTGTACTGTGTCCACAGTCTCTGGTCATCTCCTGTACTGTGTCTGCAGTCTCTGGTCATCTGTACTATGTCTGCAGTTTCTGGTCATCTCCTGTACTATGTCCGCAGTCTCTGGTCATCTGTACTATGTCCGCAGTCTCTGGTCATCTGTACTATGTCTGCAGTCTCTGGTCATCTCCTGTAGTATGTCCGCAGTCTCTGGTCATCTCCTGTACTATGTCCGCAGTCTCTGGTCATCTTCTGTACTGTGTCCGCAGTCTCTGGTCATCCCCTGTACTATGTCTGCAGTCCATTGGTTCAGAATATTTTTTTTTTCTTGTTTTTCGCCTCTAAAACCTAGGTGCGTTTTATGGTCAGGTGCGTCTTATGGAGCGAAAAATATGGTATTTTATAATATTTTTTGGCACAAATTTCAATAAAACAGTTGTTACTGTTTTATTGTTAACCGTTGCTGTTTACTTTTCAGGAATGTCATTCAGCTGCAGCACTGACTAAATTATTCTGACAGCAAAAGGGTCTTGCTCTCAGAATATACATAAGTAGTTGTATGCAGTGCTGTTGGATGATATTTTTTATCCGCAGTTAAAAAAAGAGCATATGTGCCGAAGCATAGCGGCCTGGGTGGCCAGTGGATGGATGGCCCCTATGCTTCGGCATATATATTTTATAATATTTTTTGGAACATTTCATGTGTGCCCACCATTAGAAGTGGGTGGATGCAGTGAGGTATATTCTAATGGTGGTCATACCACACACTTTTTCTGCTAGAAATTTCTTCTCTTTTTTTCATTCAGCCCACAGGTTGCATAAAAAAAAACATAGCGTATACATCCAACAAGGACCAGCGAGGTACTGGTATATCACTGGATTTTAGAGTGGTTATACCAGAATGATGCTTGGCAAATGACTTTCATGTAAAAGCAATCCTAGCGGCTAATTAGCTGCAGGATTGCTTTTACAAGCAGTGGGAGACAATGCCCCCCCCCCCCCCCATGCTACCTTCCACGGCCTTCTCGGGCAGTCCCATGCCATCGGGAGAACCTGAGAATGTAGCTGGTGTTTCTGCTAGCTGACCATAGAGCTGACTGGAGACCAGAATGTTGCCAATCATCTCTATAATCTAAGAAATCGGAAGCTACGAGCATTTAATCACTTCAGTTTTGCAGGATATAGACAGCACCATTTGTAAATTGGGAAAGCATCTGATCACACCGATCTTGGTTTGATTAGATAATGTAAGGGCAGAGGAGATATCTAGAGTCTGATAGACCCCAGATTTCTCAAAAAAGAATATATGACAATGCCCATTGAAGTTATAGGGGATATTTGCATTCCCTGTGATAGCATTAAAAGTGATAAAAAAATGAAAGAAGCATCATAAAAATAATAAAACAAATTAACTTAGAGGAAAAAAAGGAATAAAAGCACCCTCCCCCCCCCCCCCCGCATGCACACCTGCGTGCGCGAGGGTTGACCCTGTGCCAGTATGTAAACAGCGGTTGCACCATGAATGTGAGGTATCGCGGCGAACGTCAGATCAAGCGCAGTAATTCTAGCATTAGACCTGCTCTGTAAATATAAAATGGTATCTTGTAAAGGCTTTTAAAGCGTTGCCTATGGATATTAAAAATGTATGCAGTTTGTCTCCATTGCACGGGGCCTGTGCAGTTTTAAAGCATGTCATGTTTGGTATCTGTTGAATCAGCATACCATAATATTTTCTATTTTACCAAATAATTGGCCAATATATTGTGTTTTTGTGCATTAAAAGAATAAAAAGTGTCTTTTTTTTTTTTTTAAAAATTGTTTTTCAAAAATCACTGCACAAGTACTATGTGCCATAAAAAATTGCAGCACCCACCATTTTATTCACTAGGGTGTCTGCTAAAAAAAAAATTTAATGTTTGGGGGTTCAAAGTAATTCCCTAGCAAAGATACAGATTTTTTTCATGTGAACAAAAATTGTCAGAAAAGGCTTGGTCTTCAGGTGGTTAGAAGAGTGAGTGATGCGTGGCATAAACTTCTAATGCTGGGCATAAAATGATCTCACCCCCAAAAATTACCCCTTTTTGGAAAGTAGACACCCCAAACTATTTGCTGAGAGGCATGTTGAGTCAATAAAAGAATTTATTTTTTTACAAGTTTTTGGAAAAATGACAAAAAAAAAAAAAAACTTTTTTTTTACACAAAATTGTCACTTAAATAATTTATTGCTCACACATGCCATGGGTATATGTGGAATTACTCCCCAAAATACATTCTGCTACTTCTCCTGAGTATGTGGATACCACATATGAGAGAGGTTTTGGCAGTCTAGCCAAGTACAGGACCCCAAAATCCAATAAGCACCTTCAGGCTTTTAAAGGGCTTTATTTCCTCATTACACTTCCTGACTACCTATCACAGTTTCGGAGGCCCTGAAATGCCAGGATACCACCAATCCCCCCCAAATGACCCCTTTTTGGAAAGTAGGCATCCCAAGGAATTTGATAAGATGCATGGCGAGTATTTTGCAGATCTCATTTATAGCCACAAGTTTTTGGAATATGAAGAAAGAAAACAAAAACATATTTTTTTTCTTTTCTTTTTTTAGATTCCAAAACCTTGTGAGAAAAAAATTAAAGGGGTAATTTAGGGGGGTTTGGTGCTATTGTGGCATTTCAGGGCCTCCAAACCTGTGATAGGTAGTGAGGAAGTGAAATGAAGAAGTTACGCACCTTCAGACTTTCAAAGTGGTCATTGGATTTCAGGCTCCTGTATGTGGCTAGGCTCCCAAAAAGTATCACACATGTGGTATCCCCATACTCGGTAGAAGCAGAATGTATTTTGGGGTGTAATTCCACATATACCCATGGCTTGTGTGAGCAATATATCATTTGAGTGACAACTTTGCGTAAAAAGAAAATATGTTTTGTCATTTTACAAAGACTTGTGGAAAAAAAAATTAATTTTCCATGGACTCAATATGCCTCTCAGCAGATAGCTTAGGGTGTCTACTTTCCGAAAAGGGGTCATTTGGGGGTGTTTGTACTGTCCTGGTATTTTAGCACCTCAAGAAATGTGATAGGCAGTCAGAAAGTAAAACTGTGTAAATTCCATTATCTATACCATAGTTTGTAGATGCTATAACTTTCACACAAACCAATCAATATAAACTTATTGCGATTTTTTTTTTTACCAAAAACGTGATACAGAATACATTTTGGCGTAAATTTATGCCGAAATTTGAGTATGACATTTTTTTATGACAAATGAGAAAATATAGTTTTTTTCCAAAATTTTCGGTCTTTTCTTGTTTATAGCGTAAAAAATAAAAAGCGCACAGGTAATCAAAGACCACCAAAAGAAAGCGCTATTTGTGTGAAAAAAAGGACATAAATTTAATTTATGTACAGCATTGCATGACCGTGCAAATGTCAGTTAAACTAGTGCAGCGCTGTATAGCAAAAAAATGGCGTAAATTGCAGTATCTATAGTTTGTAGACGCTATAAACTTTCACACAAAGCAATCAATATACACTATTGGTATTTTTTTACCAAAAACATGTAACAGAATATATTTTGGCCTACATTTATGACTAACTTTGAATTTACTTTAGATTTGTTTATAGCCGAAAGTAAAAAAAGTTGTTTTTCTTCAAAAGTTTTGGTCTTTTTTTGTTTACAGAGCAAAAAATAAAAAGCGCACAGGTGATCAAATACTACCGAAAGAAAGCTCTATTTGTGTGAAAAAAAGGACATACATTTTGACTGGGTACAGTATTGCATGATCGCGCAATTGCCAGTTGAAATAGTGCTGCACTGTATAGCAAAAAGAGGCCTGGTCAGGAAGGGGGGTAAATCCTCAGGAGGGCAAGTGGTTAATGCAAGTTAAATGTTTACCTCACTGGTGTGTACATGTTTATCCTTTATGTGACAGCCAGGGAGTCACCTGGTCAAGGTATTTAGGTGTGTCAGCAGGGATAACACTCTGCTGAGGGCTCAGTAGTGAACCGGGCACCCAGAATACTCAGTGGCTCCTCAGGGGGTAGTGCTACACTTACAATTAAGTAGCCTTGTGCTTATTACCGGATACCCCTAACATGTGGTATGTAGGATACAAATACTTGTGCTCATATAGGTGTTTGCCACTTCCCAATATTTAACCAGGTGTGTCAAAGGAGACAAAGCTGTTCACAGAGTTGTGGCAAAGAACAGAGAACCCGTTAAACCATGTGGCTCCTCCGAGGGAAAGCACTACATTATCTATGTACTATAAGCACTACCTTACATAAAATGTAATTTTCTTTTGTATTTGTACTTGTATGATTAGACTGGTTTGCACTATTCTTCATCTTTAATTAACAATAGAAACCCTTTTGTAACAAAGAGCATACCAGTTTACTCCTGTTCCTAGGCTCAAAATAACTTGATCTTGCTGTATTCTTTAGTCAAAATTTGTATATTGTACATCAGTGGTGGTTACAGTCCAAGGCAACCAGACAACTAAGGGTAATTAAGCTTCTGCTGAGAAGAAACCAGAGAGACACTGAAGCAAAGTGCCCCTTTACTTACCATGCACAGATGTAAGCACGGACATCCTTTTCCCATCATTCCCTGAGCTCCCATAAGCCCCTGGATTCCTGGACATACTTTTTTTTGGATATACACGTCCTTGTTTCCTCATCTCAGATGCTCAGACAGATGGCACCTGATAAAGCAGAGGTAGCTGGCATGTGATCTCCAGCCAGGTGTTTGGTTTTCCAAAATAGGTCTCAGTGTGCAAACAACCAAGCTGGAGCCCAAGAACACAATGCTTCCATGAAGACCAAGCCAAAGCAAAAAAGCACGATGCCAATTGCTACCAGAGTACTGTGGTTCTGGTGGAGTGGCTGTCTCCAGCTGCCCACCTGCAGTACCATCCCGGGACTTCTCCAGTCACACGCCTGTGGTACCAGCCCAGAAAACTGCAGAGTCTGATCAGATCCCAAGGGATTCTACCTTCTGCAGGTAGAACTGGCCACTATAATTGGGAAGGTTAATCCTGCACCTCTGAGTTGAAGGCAAAGAGTCCCTTGAATGCCATAATCTTAGTGGACATTGGGACTCACTTCATCAGCAGAGAGCTGACAGCATATCGCTGAGACCTGTCAAAATGGGGAGAATGTAATGGCTTGGGGGAGGTGGATGGATGGATAAAGGAATAATTTGTTGATGGACTGCTGTCTGACAAGGTCAGAGAAACCATCTTCAAGTGAATGATAGAAGCAGCCCCAGTTTGAAGTTCCACAGACTGTTAGCTATATATATATATAGCATGTCAGGAGCAGAGACACACAGGCCCAACACACCCA